ACTGAGTGGCACACTCGAAGTATCAGGTAGATCAAGTTCGGCAAGTCGGAGTGAGCAAGGTCAAAGAGACTGATCCCATTTATTCTTTAATTTGCTGAGGCATTAAATTGCATGATGTGGCTTTGCTGCAGTTTCATAATTACCAGCACATGTTTCTAATTTCAAGCTACTCAGAGGTATTACTGACCCAAGTCCTCCCCTTTATCTGGTATTTCAGGGGCACAAGAGTGTGTGCAAGGGCTTTGTGTGGGAGCATACATGCATGTCTGTTTGCTACAAGGATAATCAGCAGATATTTCTGCCAGATAAAACTATTAGGGCCATATTTAATCAGATGTTACTTAATCAGCTCCTTTTGTCACAAAGTGTCTCCGGTTTTGTTTCCAGGTTGCATCACAGAGGAGGGATTTATTTCCCCGTCTAAGGCTTGCTGGCACCTGTAATGTCAGGCTCTCGCCACCTTCAGTGATGCATTACAGCTTCCTAATGATTGAGCCACAGTAATAGACCCGCTAATGACTGGACTTAAGAAAGAGCATATTCTAATAGCTGGAGCAGAACTGGATGGGGAGTCAATGTGTCAGGCAGGAGAGGGGATTGTAGAGGCATGAGAATCCTAAATGACTTAGGTCAAAGCTGTAAATAAAGCCAACCACAGGCCTAATAATCTAATTGTGTTCTACATTTCCCATTGAATAGAAGGTTCTGCCATTAAATTGTCAAGGAATGAAAAATGAGGAAAGAAAAATAAATGCAAGAGGGGATATTACGATGAATATTAGAAAATAACTTTAACATATTTACATATAGTCACTCATTTCTCTGTAACTGCACATTTTTCTAATTTCATTTTATGCTCCTTTTCCAGCATACAATGTCTGAAATGTCTTTCTTTTAAAAAAATATTATTCCACTAATTATTTTATCTTTTGACATTTCCTAATCCTCACTCCTGGCTGCTTTTTTTTCAGTTCTTCTATGTAAAAAAAAAAGACTTGATCTGGTGATTCAGTTAGAAAATAATTAATTGAAAACTTTGCATCATTTATGCATAGAAATTAAATTATGCTGCAGTAGAAGCAGCACAATGAAGTAATGGTGTTTCACTCTTTACAGTAATGAAAACATACAGGGCTCATGATAAGGTGGAGTTAAGCTTTTAGAAGAATTGTATTGCAAAACCACAGCAGATACTTTCAGCCAATAAGCTGTCAACACACATTTCAAAGAAGATTTGTTATGCTGCAGACTTTAAACCCTACATATCTAAAACCATCTGTTCACAGAAAGAAAGAAAAATGGCACTTGGATTTATGATTTCTCATTGTGATTTCCACCCATATTTCTGCCTTGCTTTTCTACATTTAATTAATTAAATGTAAGTAATTTTATCTTATCTATTTTTTCTCACAGGTTGACCTCCGACAAGTTTCAGTTAACCATATTTGAGGACTTAATCTGTGCATCTGATTGCGCATTGTGTTATATAATCAAGATTCAAAAGCCACAAGGTATCTCTGCAGCTCAGAAAACTGAAGCAAAGCATAAGACTGTACGTGTGTGTTTGTGCAAAGAAAAATGTAAGTCAAAAATCATCACAGCATCCCAAATATGGTAGTTTTTATTACACCTTAACATTGCAATCCAGAGGACAACAATACAGGTGTGGAATTTGAGTTCCAAACTGAATACACCAACAAATGAGTAGAAAAAAAAAATGAAAATCATGCACTTCCATCTTAATTTGTAGCAACCTGCATAAATAAGAAATACATTCAGACCGGGTGTCTCTGAGCCACAAATGTCCATTTAAAGAACATATATGTGAAGGTGATGTTTGTGAAGTCTAACGCACCTTTCTTTGCATCTATTAAACCAATCAAGATGTTTAGACATCCCACCTTTGGGTCAGATTTAGTCTGCCACAAGGTTCGAGGTAAATTCGTGTGATTTGAGTCTGAGGCTGTGACCTGTTAATTACAGATGATCAGAGCATCCTAAACACGGACCACCTGAGCATTGGGTCAGCAATTAGCCATAGAAGCCATGCATCTATGAAGCTGCTGAAACATTGAACACCAACGTGTTCATCACAGCTACTGCAGTTTTCAATCCTATTTTAATAACGGCCATCCCTCCACATAATACCACGCTCACACACACACACACAATCTCGTGGCACCACCACATCACCTTACGCGTGACACACGCCTCCTCTTTCTCATTAAGGAAATCGCTCTTCTTTGCTGATTATTTTATTTGATGCCGTGATTACCACTCTGTTCGCCGCATCAAGCAGCGTTGGCCAGCAGGCGGAGGGCAGCGGGCCTAATTGGGGGATGAGATGCGCAGACCGGTGCAGCCAGGCCTGGGTGGCCGGAGAGGAAAGCCTCTAATGGATTTGCCTGTGTGTGTGCGTGTGTGTGTGTGCCTCTTTCGTGCTGGGATGCAACACACTTCTTGGGTTTACCTCTCACTCCTCTGACTGTCAAATCACCTGCACAAAACCACAGTATGATTTGTTACGGGCTCGTTTCTGCAGATAGGAAATCGATTTTCTTTTTAGATTTCTATAAGTGAGCGAATGCAGATGACTGCGAGTGGATCCGATAGGCCCCGGCACAAAGAAAAACAACCAGCTCACCTCCCGGACCGCATTCTTACAATTTTGGTGTCGTGTGAAGAATCTTAATCTCATCTCAACATCTGCCTTTTGTTATAAGCACCATTCGAACTTGTTCTGCGACGTTATCCGTATGAGCAATGGATTTAACGCAGTTTGATTGCTAAAAAACCGCGGAGAGGGTGGACACGGAATTCTTGATCTTTGAAATTGCTCTACAAAATTGCATTTGTTTTTGGGTGCGCTTCCATTAAAAGTGTCTCCTCGCGTGTAAACAGCCGTTGTGCACTCAGATGCGCCGCATTAACCCGCGGGAGGATCGCATGTGCGCGTGTTTTTGCTGGGGAAGATTGATGTGGTCCAGTTAGGGAGGCTGAGTGAGACATAGACCCACTTCAAGTGGGTTCCTCTTATTACAGCAATAAGTTACAGTCTGAGGATCGACCATCTCAGGGGATGTTTGCCATCCAGACTGTCTCACCACAGCAAACCACAATTACGCTGGTCTGGACGTTATCAGGCTAACCTAAGATAAGAAACTGAAAAGACAAAAAAACAAAACACTTATACATGTTCACTTTAAGCATTTTAAATGTATTTTTATATATTACAATTATTGTCATTATTTTTTCAAAACCTCTATTAGCCTTAAATAGTAACTATTATAACCACTATGATTTATCATTTAAATTTATAATTTCAACCAATTTATTAGGACAGTATTTTGTTGACTTTAAAAAGATAACAGTGCAACGTAGACTTGTTTTTTTAAATAAACATAGACTTTAAATAATCTGTATTAAAAGTATTTCAAGTTGAGATTTAAATGAATTTTCATGTACTGCTTCATCAGATGTATTCACCATGACATTAAATAATCGTCCCGTAAAACATACAGACCATCTCTCCCGGCGCAGGCCCCTTCACAAAAGCTTCTGTGCGACCTGACAGCACCAGAACAGAGTCCCCCTCTCCTCTCTCCTCTCTGCAGCTCTGCGCGTCTGAGCCATGCTTCTCCTGAACTTCGGGACGCCGGACGCAGCTTTCCTCACCACTGTTGGCCATGCATCCGTCCGTTTCCTTCTGGTTTTCACGCTGTGCCACGCAGAAGCCATACTCCCCCTGCGTCCCGGCAGATTGCTGTTGAGAAGCATAAAAGATGAGCCGCCTGAACGTGGAGCAGAAAGGAGCGACGTGTCCTCGCTCGGACGCCTCCTTTGTGCGGCTGCAAAGAACCCCATTTAGTCCCAGGCGGTGGTCTATTCACCCAGCTCGCCCTGACATCTGCCAAAAGCCTTCTCTAACCAGCACTGTCTGGAGATAGGACTGGAGAGCAGATCAATGGCTGTCCTGTTAATTGTATAATGGAGCGCTGCTAAAGGGGGCACAATCGTTTAGGGTCCACCATGTCTGATTTTGTTTGAGCCAAACAGGCCTAAATACCTTTAATTGCACCCGTGTTGATGAAAAGTCGATGGGAGTTAAAGCGGCCGATCACTAACAGGGTTTAAATCCATCTGTACTCGTTTATTTATTTATTTCCTCGATTTGTCTCCACAAATCACCTGCCATGGGGGAATGGGAGCTATATTTGTTTTGTTTGTGATCCAAGGACGGGAGAGAAGCTGAGCTCCGCAGGGCTGAGGAGGAGGTCTGCAGTTAAAAGACTTCTCCTCATATTCTCCTTTATTGTGTTCCAAAACTCACTGAGTACACATAAAGTATGTTTCTGTTCAAGAAAAAAAAGTGTAAAAAACGACTCGTTAAACATTTTTATTTATTTGTTTTGTAGATGTCATTTACAAAAATAAATTGTACAAATATCATTTGTAAAATATTCGATAGATTCACAGTAAAAAGAATATGAATTACATTTGAAAATTATATTATAATATGGCTAATTATTGGATGGATCAGGGCATTCTGGTTCAAATGATCTATAAAATCCACTATGGTAGAACCTAAAAAAGGAGAAATAAAATCCCTGTCAGTCGAACTGCTTCATTATTTTACATGTATGTCTACAAACAGAGGAGTCCTGTCACGGTACGAGCTATATGAGATTAAACAAACACATTAAGATGTTTAACATGGAATAATTTGAGCATGAAAAGCTAATAAATCAGAGGATGGAATGGCAGAGGATTGAATTGTAGTGTTTCGTGCGCTTTAGAGTCTGTGCACGCGGACGTTTCTTTCTTTCTATTTTTTTTGTCGCGTTTTTTTTTAAGGGGGGAGTCAAGTCGCTGACATTTCCAAACTCCCGCTCTGATTGGTTCTTATTTGAGGAAGCTCACGGGTTCTTTCAACTAATAGGCGCCTCCCCATCGCTCTAAAGGACATTATAATGCAAGGGACCTCCTTTTTTAACCACAAGCCGAATTTTCGTTCATTTAGAGCATATATACTTTTTAAATTGCCCAAAGTTGTAGGGTTTTTTTGGAGCGTGTTTCGCCCTGGAGCGATACGCGATGCTCTCTCACGCCGACCTCCTGGATGCTCGGCTCGGTGAGTTATCCTCACTAAACTCCGGCCCTAAACTCCAGTGTAAGATATAAACTTCTTATTCCATCTTTTATAAATATAAACTGCAAATTGAATGTGTTAACCGTTTGTTGTCAGTGGAAGCAATTCTTTACAGTGATTTATTTAAAAAAAAAAAAAGACCTGACAGACAATGTTTTGTTATAAAACTCTCCAGCATGATTTTTATGTATCGGTCTTTAAATGAATTTAAAGATAAAGTGTATTTGGTGCTGTTTCTGTTTTGTTGTAAGATGCTGCGATAATGTTTTCTGTTTTTTTTGCCTTGTTGTTAATCCACGTTTCCCTCCTGATCGTCCCCTCAGGGATGAAGGATGCTGCAGAGTTACTCGGACACAGAGAGGCTCTCAAGTGCCGGCTGGGGGGCGGGGTGCCGGAGCAGGGGCATCCGGGAGACATGGCCCCTGGCTCGGATTCCGTGGAGGGAACCACTCTCCTGCCGGGGGAAGACATAGCGACTGTGGGATCCAACTCTGGCGGCATGCAGGTGAACGGGAAGGAGCAGGAGAAGCAGCAGCAGCAACAACAACAGCAGCAGAACTCCGGCCAGAGCTCCAGCCAGCAGAAGCAGAAGCGCCACCGGACGCGCTTCACGCCCGCGCAGCTCAACGAGCTGGAGCGCAGCTTCGCTAAAACGCACTACCCCGACATCTTCATGAGGGAGGAACTGGCTCTGAGGATCGGGCTCACCGAATCCAGAGTTCAGGTACGTAACCATGGGCGTCGTGGATGAATGTACAGGGTCCAGGTGACATAAGGAGGCAGGGTGGGGCTCTGGCTGGTTTGGGATGTTTGGCCTGTGAATGTCTTAAAGAATCCATATATAAATCGTCCTGGAGGCTACTCAATGGAATAGTACTTCAAAAGGCATATAAATGCGTTTGAAGTTTATCATTTTCCATTGCTCCGGGAAATCTCAGTCCCATTCAGAGTGGATTTGTAATAAATGCAAACTAATGTAAAAAAAAAAATAACTCTGCAGATATTGCATGTAATCACACTCGGGATAAAGAATAAAACGATATGCTGCTTATTTAGCTGCGAAATGTCTAACAGAGAATTTAAACATCTCGCCATGAACGACTAATTATCCTAAATTTACATTATACTAAGTCATATTTGTTGTTATATTGAGTAAATAGATTGTTTTCAATTTAAAATAAAGCCTGACATTTAATATCTGCATGTAAGAAATGGAAGTCGTCTGATGGGTAACTGGCTCTCTCCATGGTCCTGAAATATTTATTGTTTGTGGTTCATAATCTCCACATAAATAATACACATTTGGAAGCCTTTGATTAGCAGAAAGAATGGTGAAACATTTCAAGAAAGTGTCTTCAAAACCGTAAAGCAACGCGTTTTAACTACTGCCTCTGTGTTTATTGTAGGTTATTTTAGACGATTCCCTTATCAAAGCAACATACGTTTTTTTTTTAGAATCTTCAATTGAAACAATAATTATTTTTGGATGAGAAGCATTTAACTGTTTGTAATTGGTAGATAATAGAACATAATTGAATCTCTTTTGAGCATTCTGAACACAAAAGAAACTGGACAAAAAAACGCTCTGCTTTTTATTTTCTTTAAACACGCAGCCTGAAACACACCAGACAACAATAAACTAAACACATTATCAACCAATTTCAGTCCTATTTATAACACTGAACGCATTATTAAGCAGTGATGTGAAATTCATGCAAATTATCCCTGTGAAAGCAATAAAAACAGTATAACCATTAGTCACCTTAATAATCAATTCTTTATTCCGAGCCGTGCAGAACACGAGCCGTTCCGTGCGTGCCAGCTCGGGCTTATTGTTGGTAAACATTAGTGCAGACACGGAGAGTGGAGCCCACGGTGGGCGTGCTGGCCTCTTGCATGCCTCCACAGCCTCTGCTCTAAAATGCTCCATCAGCGACGTCTTAATAGGACTCAAGAATATATTGTACGTTTTTTTTTAATGGAATGAGAAATTGCATTTTCTTTCCCCCTGGAGTGTAATGGGTTTGGGCGATGTTTCACGGCTGGCTGAGCGAAATGAGAGCGAGGTTTCACTTTTTAATACGGTGCCATCGACTCCGGGCCTCGCGAGCGCATTAATCACACCACAAACGCGATGAAATCTTTATAAACCCCGAGATTTCGCGTGACGTGTGTTTTTCTTTCTTTTTTATTCATTTCTTTTTTTTTTTTTTTTTTGCAATGTGGGTTTGGTTGGTTTGTTCTCTCTCACGAACCGGAAAGTAGTCTCATTTCTGAAACTGCACAGTGACGCAGGCCATCTGGACCAAAACCTGCACGTCGTGCACTCCATATTGACATTTTTTTAGACATTTTAACAAAAGAAAAAAACGAAACTTTTCGAACCAACAAATAACAATTGATGCCAGCCATACTCTGAATTATCCCCTAATTAAGTCACTAGCAGTTTTCATGAATCCTCTTGAGTCCAAACCTAATATGTTTCTAGTTTTGGTTCGTATTTTTAGGATTTTGTTCCTAAGAAGCGTTCACCGTAAAAAGTAGTTCCTTTCAATGGCCGAGGAAGGACTAGTTTTCATAATTCATAAACATTTGGACAATTTGGGAGGATGTCGTTAGTTGTCTGTAACCTTTCTATGAATATTTAAATAAATATTTTGATATGTACAATGTGTGTGTTAAACCCTAAACGTCTTTCTTTTGGCCTGTTCAGTCGATTGATAGTTTCTCGGATGAGATTTAGTGACAGCATGCGTAGTGAAAGCTTAGTTGTGGCTGGGGAAAAAATCCACTATTTGTTAGTTTTAATAAATAGCCAGTACAGTACATTCTATATTTCTCGGTTTCTCTGGTTTTGAACGTCTCGTTTTCGCTGCTTTTCAGGTTTGGTTCCAAAACAGACGCGCCAAGTGGAAGAAAAGGAAGAAGACCACCAACGTGTTCCGGGCCCCGGGAACGCTGCTGCCCACGCCGGGCCTGCCCCAGTTCTCTGCGGCGGCCGCCATGGAGAACAGCCTGTGCTCCTTCCACGCCAACGACTCCCGCTGGGCCACGGGGATGGCGGGCGTGTCTCAGCTGCAGCTGCCGCCGGCCCTGGGCCGCCAGCCCGGCATGGCGCAGTCCCTCTCACAGTGCAGCCTGGGCCCGGGCCCCCCGCCCAACTCCATGGGTCTCTCCAACGGCCTGTCCTCCAACGGCTCCGGTCTGCAGTCCCACCTCTACCAGTCGCCTTTCCCGGGAATGTCGGCCTCCCTCTCCGGCCCCACGAACGTATCGGGCTCCCCGCAGCTGTGTAGCTCCCCGGACAGTGACATGTGGAGAGGGACAAGCATCGCGTCGCTGAGGCGCAAGGCCCTGGAGCACACAGTCTCCATGAGCTTCACTTAGTGACTTTTCAACCCCCCCCACCGAAGCCCCTGCTCCTCACACCTGCCTCCTCTCCCAGCTCCCCAACCCATGTTTTTGATTTCGTGGTTTTTGTTCCGGAGGTTTAGATCTAAAACGAGAACGTGGGCTGAAATGCCAGAAAAATGGAGACGGATGTGACTTCATACTGATAAGAAATAAAAGGACACGGATGGACAAGTGGGAGAAAAAAGCGAGCTCGGGTTGTTTATCTTGTTAATTCAAATGGACTTTATCAGCTGTTGATGAAAATATTGTAATGATCTTTAGAATATAGGCCCTAATTACTGAGAGCCAAACAATCGTCGTATTTATGTTTTCATTGAGTGTGTCTTTACGCACACCTCACTGTGTTCAGGTGATGTTGCGTTATGTCAAAAAAGGTTATTTATACAATTGGTAATGGTATTTGGTCCACCACAGTCCACAGCACATCACCACGCAGAGTCCCAGGCATGCTCTGTGCACGTGGATTGAACAATTAGGGAGAACAACCGTGGAACGAGCTGGTGATTTTGGGAAGATGACCTCAGTCTCAAGCGCGTGAGATGGGAGAAGATATCTGGGAAAAAAAACAAAAAGAGAAAAAAAAAAATCGAAAAAAATACAGTGAGCTCTCAGTAGGCCTACTCTGTTTTAGGATGTTTTGTGTAGATAAAACATTCTTGCTGTACACGCTGGTCTTTTTTGTGACATGTTTTAACTTATTGTATGTGCTATTACTTGACACATTTCTTAAATGTTTGATCCTACATTGAAATGCACCACACCGACGGGTTTGTACCGATTTAAAATGAGCAAATCAAACAAATAAAAGTACTTTTCAAGAATGTCAAAACAGCAACGTCTCCATTCTGTTCAAACGGATAGTTCATTTAGTAGCCCTTTTAAAGACCTGCTATCCTTAGGAAAACTATTTATCAAATTATTATTTTTTCAATTTAGTTATTTTTTTGGGAGAGGTGAGGAGGATCGACTCTGGAGTTTTAAAAAAAACTTTAAAAAAAACATTATATATGGCGCTTGTGGAGGAAGACATTTTCCTCCACAAACTTGTTTAGTTTGCGTTCACTGCTCAGTGACCCGCAGAGAGGGATTGTGAGAGAGTTTCTGAGATGACAGGGTTAAAGGCTTTATGAGGGGTGACTGGTCTCACGGTGGAGGACAGCAGCGGTAAAGATGTCAGCGGTGTGATGTGACGGTCATTGCTTTTAGCCATGACGGTCATCCTGCAAAGTGGACTGGACGGACCTGATGAGCACGCGGCTTAAACACACACAGACAGTTTCATATTGGCCTCAGATATTCTTCATGTCAATGTTGAATGCAGTGCAACCACAAAGAGAAAAGTTAAGTGTGATGAGGAGCAGGGACCACTGTAAGTTTAGAAAATGGACACCAAGGGACACATACTTCACTTCTTTAAAATATAATTAGGTCCATTTGGGATATAAAACCAACAGTCAATTTAGGAAACAATGTCTTTAAAAAATCTTATTTATAAGACCCTCTTTAGCGTTATCTGTTATCTGTGACGCAAAAAACCTGAATAGACCCTATACAAATGTTTTATTAGGTGTAAATATGTTGTTTTTTAAATCAAATTTCTCAGAACAGAACGAAAAGAGGAATACTTGCTAGAAACATTATCAGACATGTACACAGTTGTTGGGTACACACTACTAACACACTACTTTAAACATATTGGACTATTGGATCTGTTTAAAGTAACATAATATAAAATATTCTGAGATATTTACACACACCAATTATAGTCCTGAATCTGGTGAACTTCCATTGTAAGTGCTGATTTTTAATTTGGCCCAGTGTGAGTGTGAGTGTTTACCACTTCACACATTTCATAACAAATCAAAATACAGATAAACAGTATAGAGTTGATTAGCCTTCGGATGTTTTTCATCATATGATAAATATCTGAAATTCCTAGATTAATTCTGTAATGAGGGAACCTCTCACCTGGCTTGCTTTTTTAATTTCTATTTCAGAAAATCCTGACACAATTTCTGCAGACTGTGAGGCAACCCTGAATGAGGTAAATAATTTTTTTTTCCATTATGAAAGTGAGTGGACCTCACTGTCTGTGTCAAAGAGTATAAGTGTCAACTTGAGCCTGAAATCACAGCAGCTCAAATTAATCAGCGTGTTAACCTCATCTCGTTGCCAGCGCTGAGGCCAATTTATGGTCACGGGATGGTAATTGATGAGATATGGCATTACCATAAGCAGTCCCACTGCCTGTAAACTTATAATTGGAGTTTCTGTAACAATGCGGGGAGGTTAAACAAAGGATTAATCATAATTAACAAAAGTATATTACTTTCCCCATATTAAACAGTTGGTTCCCACCTTTTCTATTAACATAAATTTGTTTACAGTAATTTACTGAATTATTGCAAATACCAACCCAAGTCAAGACTCTGAAAATAATATTCTGTCTGCTTTCACTTTTGTTTGTGTGTGTGAGAGTCAAATATGTTTTTCACATACTGTCACACGCAATTAATTAGAATGAGATTGCCTGAAGTTTTCCAACATACAATGAAAAACAATTCTGACATTATTTCATATTACATTTACTGGCTAATATAATGACCAGGCCATATGCTATCATCTTACGGAAAGGGAAGAAAGGTAGATAACTCAGCAAGGGATGAAAACGTGGAGGTAATTGAAAATGTACTTTTTCAATTCACTTGTATGCAAATAAACTGAGATGATATGTCCACAGCTGTATGTACTTAGGAGAGAACAATGTAAACCAGATGTTGAACTGATTTATTTTTGGAGAAAGAGTGCTTCGGCATTTTATAATCCCATATCACATTCCAAAATAAATCAGGCATCTTCTGCGGTGAATACTTTTTTAAAATATATATTATTGTTATCATATTATTGACTGGTTCATTATCACTTGAGTCCATTTCTTATTTTTACCACCACATTACCCAACAAATCAGGAGTGATTTTTTTTCTCTCTCTGAAGGCAGGAATCCCACCTACCTTGCAAAGGCATGCAATTATAAGATCCTACATGACAGTTAATCAAACAGTCAAACCGGAGCCAGACTCACGGCTTCTCCACCCATGCAGGCTGGAGCTGCAGTTGGTGCTGGCACACGTCTGTTGATCTGAGACATCTAGTTCTGTGAGCGGCTCAGCCCACCAGATCCGGCCCTGCGCTGACTACTGTGTCCTGGGCTGCAGTAACAGATGTGAAATCACATTACCCAAACGCTGCAATTAGTCTCACTCGCTCGCGGGTTAATGAGTTTGTGGAAATGTGCGACCCATTCCTCATTAGGTAATTTCTCATGCACTGATGAGAGAGAGAGAAAGATGTGGGTATAGCAACTTAGTGAAACTGGCACATAGTCTGCTACAACACATACTGTAAAATATTTGGTGGAGCGGATCAAAATAGGACTTTTTTTGCTACTTTTAAAAACAACTCCCTGTTATCGGCAACATCAATTTAAAAAGTCGACCATTTACACCATCAAATGATACGTACTTGCATTCGGGCAGCTTCTGTCGTCTGCTGAATCGACATCGGCCTGTCTCATTATGGACCTCAGAGCAAGGAAATATGCTTATATCCTCACACCGCTTCCACTGAGCCGGTGTTTGAATAGGCCACCTTTGGGGCAAAGCTCTGTCAGGACACAATGAGGGACAACAAAAGAACTAATTACCAATCAATTACCAACATGTTTCTGTCCTGCACCTTTTATCTGGTTAGTTAGAGTGTGGGGCAAGTTACCACCACTCATCATGTTCCCATTCACTCACCCACACAGAGAGCACCTGCTGCTTATGTGGGTATGAATGTGTGCGTGTGTTGGGATTATTGAAGGCGGCTATGGGGTAACCCAGTGATACATGGCTCCACAGCAGAGAATGCAACCTCACGCCTGTGTGAGATAAATGTGAAAAATCCTCAAATTAATCCAATTCAGACCATTAGAGACGGTTTCTTTTCACCATGTCTGCACCCAAGAGCGTTTAAGGATAGCTGTTCATTAGCCTCATCTGTGCCAATCAGCCTCTAAATTCTCCTTTGTTGAATCTCATTGCTTTTCCTTGCTGCTGTGATAGCTGCTGTAATTTTTGACTGAAGATGATCACAAGACAGCACAACGTTATGAAATTGTGGACATAGTAGAATTACTCTGTAATTTTTCCCACTCGACTTGCTCAATTTCAGCTTCTCAGACCCTCCGTTACTGTGGAACAAACACAAAAGCGCTCACACAGACACACTGTGACATCTGGGGGGAAAGTGTGCTGTGAGGAGGCTGCGAGTGCCTCTCATGATAACAACTCTGCATCTCAACAACCTACATCCATCATCATCAACACTAACATCTGCTCTGAGCCTCAGCCTTAAATCTCTTTCTACTCCCCCAACCCCTTTACCTCTCTCTACTTTCTATCCTCCCTCCCCCTTTTACACCCTTCTCTCTTTCCTTTCCTTCTCTTCTGTCCATCTTTTCCCTCTCAAGAAGCCCTTTTGTAAGCACTCACCTCAGTATCCACAGTCCAAATCCCCTCATCAGCACAATAAGCCTGGATTTGTTTTTGCTTCAACAAGCCTTAAAAATCAATATTTAATGATGATGTTATCGAGGCTTTTATGTATAATTTAGCTAGAGTGTCAGTATGAATGAGACTCTGTCACTTTTATGACGTCAGGCATTTATTTTCTGTTAATGGGGGCTCCTTGTGGTGCACAAACCAAAACCCTGTGGACATCTGCTGGATTTTTCTGTTTCATACCTTTGCATGCATCAAATATTTACACTGTTTAGTTGGAGATACGGCCATCAGGGCATCCGAAAAAACATATAAATCTGAGAGATATGAAAGAAAAAACATTCAAATTAAAGCCACAAACGCTCCACTTTGATGTGACACTTCTTGCTAAATGTGGCCGTAATGGTTTGAACTTAAATCACAAACAATCATCTGTTTGTTTCCAACTAAATCCATTCATCACGAGTATGTGTGCACGCATCAACTGACTGTGACATTTTCCAAAGCAAAGCCAATTACTTCATCTCTTCATGTCTCAGAGTCAACATTGTTGAGAGGCAATAATCATGATAGTTTTCTCAGTCATTTTTCTCCCAATAACAAGCCATTTTTAATCCAATTAGGAGTGCTAACGTGAGAGGCATAATACCACAGCCCTTGGGACAGATGAGAGAATATGCAGGACATTTATCCCGACAGTCAATATTGGATTTTTCACTAAGCAGCTGTGCCTGCTCTCTCTGACATTCTCCACCTCTGCATAGTGATCCGTCCTGATTAAACGGGCTTTTCTACTTTATCAACATTCATTACATGACCCGGTCATGCATGACCGAGTAAAACCAGGAGGAGCAAAGTTGCTTTTCTTGGTGTTGGGGTTTTCCTGCTGCCCTCTTACTTTCTATTCAACAGTTTATGGAACCTGATCCATATGGATGGATTTCATATTGTTTTTAAAATTATACCTGGGCCGAAAGGTGCATAACGGTATTTCCCAAACTTTCCTCAGCAGCTCTAAAACGCTGGGTTTGTTTTCAGATGTTAAACTTAGATGCAGCTGGCCAAACTGATTTTTATGTCCCGAAACCCTGTTGATATAAGGTTACTCTTCTCATAAGTTGTTGTAATGCATTTTCTGATTTTCTGACTTTCATGGTTACAGCTGATTTTTAAACAAAGAAAATTGAGAGACCTCCTTATGCCTTTTTTTTTTGTTCTTTCTTAATAACCAAAACAAGTCATTTAAAAGAAACACTTCATTAAAAGACTACATCGAAGGCAGGTCACTGTTTTGATACAGCTAAACACTGCCACCTTCTGGTGGTAATTGTGGCTTACAACTTAGAGAAATTTGATGGTCTACTGATAAATTCTTAATAAATTCAGTCTGAAAATTGAAACATATGATCGAAATTTGATTAAATCTTTGTATTAATTAATAGAGTACACACGTATTGTTACCCCAAAACAGAACTGGTAAAATAGAGAAAATGCATGAAAAACGGCTGCTGTTTATAGCTGATTTTAGTCAATACATTTATGCAGCGCACTGAATCATTGTCATTGAGCACATTGATTATGTGCAGTGATCAATGTTTATAAGGCTGGAAGGGACTGGCTAGACCACAGTGGAGGCTGAATGATGAGAGAACACTTTTTTCTGGGTGTCAAATGCTCACCCACGTCCACCAAACGAAGCAGGCATGGTCCAGAGTGTGAGGAAACTTCCACCATGAAACAGGAATTGTACGGTAAAAAAAAAAAGAATGAACACTTTACAGATTAAAGTGAATGCACAAGACCAGGCAGGGGAGATATAGAATTTAGTGAAAGCCTTGAGTTTCTGAAAAATATGGACAGCAATCCAGCACGAGGTGGTTTTGTTAGTAAACAGGGAATTTTGAAAGTTATGCTTGGCAGGGTATCTCGACAGAACTATGTCTGTTTATAATGAAGTACGATAATTTCTATTAGAGTAGTTTGACTTTGACCCCAGAGCACTAAGTTGATAGATAATAGAGATTCTCCTTCTCGTGTTTTTTGCCCTCATCATTTTACTGACCTGCTGCCATTGAGCTTAATCAGTTATGACATGTTTATACAGCAGTTTCTTTTCAGTGCCACTTTCTATTCCAGTCTTTTGTGATCAGCTCTTTTAGAGGTCTGTTATTATCTGACATTTTTCAGGAAATAGTAAGTATCTCACCTTTAACAGCTGATATATTCTATTGAGAGATAGATTTTTACTGCGTTCTGTCCTACTTACATCCTATGCATAAGGCAAACTTTATTGGAAATTGGTTTAACCTCTACTTAACTAATAATACTGGTGTTTGCTTTCTTACCGCATAATGGGACAACAAAAATGTCAATTTCCCGCTGGCTTTCTCAGTATAATCATAGATTAAAAAAACTATTTGCATATTCAATTCTCTATCTTGTCTACTTGATGCACAATAGTTGTTTTTTCCCCTTGACTATACAACTAAATGTTGATTAAATACTTAAACTTTTACAATCAAACAAAAGAAACTGGTCACCTTCAGACGAGAGTCATCAGATCTCCCCTGAAAACCTTGGTTGGGAGGTAATTAAAAGAGGAGAATTTTATCCATGTGGCTGGGTTTTGGGGGGGGGGGCACATGGGAAAATCCATACAGACTTTAAAGTAATCTCTCTCTGTCAGGCCAGTCCAAATGGGGAGGGTCAGCTCATTACAGACCCAGCAGGAGATGAATGGGTCAGTCAGGCATTTGGGGGGGGGGCAGGTTGGACTGCTGTGTTGACAGAAGGATCCACACAAGTGATGTGTGTTGCACGTGTGTGGAGGAGAATCAACAAATAAAATACTTAGTGATATGTGCTATCTTTGCCAGGGAGCAGGTGTGGTGAGGCAGCCACATGCTGGGCGACGAGGCAGGGTTAAAACACTAATGTCTGGAATCAACAGTCTCTGGGATTTAACTTTGACCTCATGGCGGGCCGACTGTCTCTTGCTGGCACGGTCATTATAAAATCCTTAAATCACAGTTTTCATCATTTTCTGTTTCTCTCTGCAGAGTTAAATCAGTTGCATTTATCATATTTCGAAAGTCTCTGTTCTAACACAAGCCACCAGATGGTGTTGTTGTAGTTTTATGTTGGTGAAACAGCTGAGACCTGCGCTTGTCCTCAGTGATTGGTTTTAATAGCAGGAATCCCGATTCTTATTGACATTTGTAAACTTAAACCTGATTAATAGATAGATATACTTTATTTATCCCAAGCTGGGAAATTGCAAATAGTTTCCTTAGGAGGTACACTGATCAGTACAGTTTGGAAAACTTCACGTAATCATGCTCAAATACATCTGTAAAAGTGCTGGACTAGCTCAGATCATTCGATTTGTGTTAAGATAGCAAAGTGATGGAAAAAAACATAGAAGGTTTAGTAATGGGGATCTAAAGTTAAGATACACAGAATGCCCTGCCTATGAAAAATCTGACTAAAGATACATCATTATCTGTGTCCAAAGGAAAGAAGTCAGTAACCTGAGTAAAAACTAAGCAGTGTGTATTTGACGAATGAGCTGAATGTACTTTCAGATTCTAAGTAAGCAGGGAGGAGCAACTCTCCTGCAGGTGATGTGTACGGCGATGTGTGTTCAGTTGTTTTGAGATGCTTGACCAGGGTCTGTTTAAAGAAGGAATGTTAAGACGCACTCCGAAAATGAACATATTTCTATGAGAGGCAGTACTGCATGCATGGTCCTACACAGAGCCACAAGCCCTGAACTTCTAAGGCCTGGTTTTGAGTCATCCACTACACTCACTACTCTAAAATTAGGGTCTTTGTCCATACTATATTCAGGTCCCTTGTTTCGCTATTTAGGCATGACTTGTAATGTTAAAGGTTTAAGAATAAATAATCACATTTCATACCGAAATTTATTATGCCCTCTTAACATCAAGACATTTTCCAACTTCATATATCAGACCACATTAAGGGATTTTTACAGCTTTTTGAATAATACCATGATGATAGTTCTTCTATTTCTGTTATGCATAATAAGATGCTTTTGCATATTGTTATCTTTATAAACATGCTAATGTTTCATTATGCTTTATCTGTCTGGGCAGTATCACATTTGTTTACCGCCATCTCTGTTCTGTTGCACATTTGCACCAATCTCTGGGCTGCAAAGTAAATTACTCTTTTAATTCATGATTTTCTGGGTGATGTGGAATACATGGTTTTATTATATCAAATATTAGAATGGACTATTCTTAGCACAGATGAGCATAGATCAGTTGGATTAGATTGCATGTGCAAGAGCTCTACATTTGTTTCGTCTATACCAAAACATGCATATTTGGGGAAATTGCTAAGGTACAAGCGCTTAGCACATGGTATCTAATAAAATACACACACCACGTAGCATTTTAAAACACTTTTGTTTGCATCTTCTGCCATTTACATTAACAAAACAAATCTAAGCGGTGAGATGTTGGCTAATAGGTTGAGACATCAAAGCCCCTGTAAGACAACTAATTATTATCAGTGACTGCTGGCTTCTAAATGAAAGTAATACACCTCGAATAGGTCATCAGCATTGTAGGACCACAGGCTGTGGGGCTGTTCAAGTAAATGTTATTCATTACACTCATTATTGTTTTGTTTTGTTAGGGTTTACAGTCCTGTGTGTGGCATCATGGACCTTCATCAGTGGGAGAAAATGTCAGCTATCATTAGCTCAAGATAATTGCATGCGCAGTCTCGTTTTCATTTCAGATGAATGAGAGAATGTGAGTACTGTTCTATGAGATGTTTGCATGCATGCTGACAGGATGATCATCATCTCTCACTCGGCTTCATCTGAATTTGACCTTTCACAATGGCAGCATGGACACTCAAAATGAGTCTCATCTAAATTAATTTCCAATGTTGTTACAAATTGAATTGCGTAACACCCTCTCTCTGCTGTGGACCACTTCACTTCTTCACTTCCTGTACCTTTTCCGGTGTATAAACTCTTATTTTTGTCCACTGTAAATTACTCGCTGAATAGCTCAAAAGATGTAACTTAGTAAAAGAGCAAACAATCCTGTGCTGAATATCCATTTGGCCAGACTTTCACAAAACTACATAACCCGGAAACAATCTAATGCTTTTCTACAATTATGATAACTATTATTATATGTAATGTATTTGAACATTGTGTTTGAGTTGAGAGCAAAGAATTACATTCAGCTTTCAGTGGATTTATTTTGGGGTCACGTTTCAAATGACATCATGAGAACTGAACTCCCTCTTTGTCCCAAACAAGGGCACTGTTGTCATAATGTTTGTCTAGGTCACTGACCAGAAACTGTAATCAAAACGGATGATCAAATCAAATCCTGGTACCTTCTTGATCAAGTCTATGTAGAAGTTATCAATAACCTGTAACACAGTAAAAAAAAAAGTGCTCTGAAGGTCGTTTTGTGGAGTTGAAAAGAAAGTACCACGTCATAAGAACTTGGAATGAACCCAGCAGTGCACCAGTGATGCTTGAACTGTGCACAGGGTCTTTATTTATGCTTCCTATTAAGCATAAACATATGTGAATTTCATTTAAACCTGATCTAGCGTTGAATATGTATGCTTCGTTAAAAAAAAGAACACATGCTACACATGCAATTTATCTACTTTTAATGATTTATTCTAACGAAATCACTCGTCGTTATCAGTTTCCACGCCGCCAAGCATGTTCAAATCCCCGAGCATTGCTCTGTACGACCACCTTAATTTCATAGGTTGCTAAAAATAATTGTCAGTACGCCTGGCTCCCAGATTTCCAGCGACTGTGGTGTTGGCCTGCCTGCCTGTTTGTGCTTCTATAAAAGCTGGCAGCCCGCTGGCCGCGCCGTTCTTTCCCCTCCCGCCTGCAGAAGCACTTGTCCAGAGACGCACCTCAGCATGTCGGTGGCTCTGCGCGCACAGCTGCTCCTCTTCCTCATCTCCCTCTCCTCACGGACGGCGCGCACTCGCTATATTGAGGTACGTTGAGATTGTAATTGACGGAAAAAGTTGGACTGTATATAAAGTAGAACAAGTCATGCGTAACAGATATTCGTAAAGTTCTTGGATGCAATGCTGAAATGTGTCGTTTGTTTCTGTGTGCAGGAAAACGACGCATCAGATGGATTATATTCTCTGCTCAGTTTGGCCCAGAAAAGAGAATCAGAGGATTTTATTTTCCGTAGACCTCTCAGTAAGAACGATCTTTAAAAAATGGGTTACATTTGTGGTTGATTTTGTTTTGCGTTACACTCTGACTTCCATGAAGTAGCATAGAGATTCTGAACATGCAGCTGTGAGTTAGAATTTCTCCAATTCATCATATTGCTTTCTCAAAAAGAACATGTTAGATCAAGATGACTTCATGCGAAAGAGTTCAGGCAGCATGCATTTATGACAGGGTAAACTATTTGGATTTTAAACACGGTTTTCACGATTTCCTCATGAAGATTTGTGTAAAGTGCTAACTTAGTCCTTTCATTTAATTTTAAATTAGCATTTGTGTGAACCTCTGCATTGTCTTTATGTTTGCTTT